CCCTCAAAGAACATAAAAATTACCTGTAAAATACTGAACCTGTGCGTGAAGCTATATTATACTAATACCAAATAGACAACTGGATCTTACAACCAATTATGCCCATGCCCTCCTAAAAAAAATCCATCGCAATGGCAGGCATTGCCTCCCTATCAACAAGGCCCACCCTTGAACCTGAGAAGAAACATACCATCTCTTTCAGAAGAAAATAAGTGCCGCATGCACAGATTCTACCAGTCAGCAATATCCATTATGACTTGCTTGATGAGTAAAAAAAACTCCCAGAAAAGAAATACCATAACTTTGTTACCCTTTCTATGGGATGCAATTTGCTGGTGCAAGATTATTCCAAAATCATGAATAAACTACTATTATTATTATGATTATTATTATCTCAGTCTTTCTCAAAGCATATGCCAAGATAAAAAGTATGGAGGGGGATCTCAGTCTTCATGCTATTGTAATTCTGTAGGACACGGTGGAGAACGTTGGCCATGCCCAAGATTCCCGTATGCTGGAGGATGTCGAGGGATATCTGGCATCAAGGTTGCTGAACATGTTCCCTGAGATCCTGTAGGACAACACTGATTGTGCCAGTGATGGGAATGATGGTGGTCTTCAGAACACAACCATTAACCTTCCGATTTGCAGTCCAGCTTCTCCCAGGTCTTCACTTGGAGGTTGTTATCAGCTGGTACCCTCACATCTACAAGGAGTGCGATCTTTTACTCCTAGATTGTGAGATCTGGCCCGTTACAGATGATGGGGCAGTCTGTTATTATTAGTATGTCCAAGAGTACCATTACAGACTGGATGGTGCTTATACCAATCTGGATGTCCACTCTGGGACATCCAAGCCGGCATGCTCGCAGACACACCAGTGGACGTATTTCAATACCTGGTTGTCCCTGTACAAGTACTCTTCTGGGGCTAGTTCGGGGCAGGTATTCGGAAGATGGTGAACCGTTTCAGATGGGCCATGACAGTATCGGCAGCGGTCTTCAACGTCCAGCTTCGGGATGTGCATCTCATTATTATGAGTTTTGGTTATCATTTGTTCTGATTAACTTATTATCATTGTAATAGTTGTTGTTGAGCTCAATTCACTCCTTCTACAGTGATGCTGGACCATGGATACAAGGATGTATTTCTTTGGCTTGGTCCTGGAGTAATGCTTTGTGGGCATCATTGATTGTGTCAGCGACCTCAAACCATCACGCATGCAGCACTTGGGAAGAGAAAGAAGTCATGGAGCGACAGATGCAGTGAGTATACCAGGCAAGCTAGCATCTCCCAGTCCTAGGACACGTCTTTTTCTCCAGCCGCTAGCAGCTGCTGGCAAAAAAGATGCATTGGCTAGGCATGACCACATCGCTGAATGATGTCACTGTTGAGCAAGCAGCTGCGAGTGGGACATAGCGAACTATGGGAGCGCTGAGCAGCTAAGCCTTAAAATGATGTCCATCAGATGCTGGGGGCCTCAGCAGAGTCAGCTGAGCGGCTGGCAAAAAAGGGCATGCCCCTACTCTGGTGTGACCTCCAGGACTTTGCACTTCCAAAGGGGAGACCCATTGTCTTGCAACAGAAGGGGCCGGTTGCACTGACTCGGTTAAGCCAGAATTTCATGCAAAGTCTGACTTTGGATGCCTGTCTAAAACTTTAGCCGGTTGCACTGAACCTGACTAATCTCAAAGAAACCAACAGCCCCAACACCATACTTCTTTCCCCATTGACTGTACTTCTTCATATTTTAACAATGCCAATGCACTGTCCTGACTGAGGACGAAAATGAAATAATACAACATTGTCTTGCAACAGAAGGGGCCAGTTGCACTGACTCGGTTAAGCCAGAATTTCATGCAAAGTCTAACTTTGGATGCCTGTCTAAAACTTTAGCCGGTTGCACTGAACCTGACTAATCTCAAAGCCTGACTTTCAAGTCTGTCTAATCTCAAGCCACCTTCAGGGTGTCTTAACTGAAGTCAAGTCTGACTTGAAATGTCATTATCTGATTTTTTTGAGGAGCTGTGGTTATGGTTCACTTGATTGCCCGACCTGAGAGAGAATTAGAAACTTCAAGGATGTTCCAGGAAAGGCTCGATACCCTTGGAACAGCTTAGTGATTCTGAACTTTATGAAAGGTACAGACTTCAAAGGTACAGAAACATCATGATTCCGTGCTCCCAGGAGTGTTTAATGTTATTTCCGGTTGAATTATTTATTAAAATTCCTCCTTTATATTGAAGGCAATTGTGTTAAGTGCCACCTTGCAAAAAGCTAAAATCCGCACTACTATTCCGATTTCGATGCGGATTGCGGCTAATCCCAATAGAAGAGATGATTTCAGCTGTCTCTGCCAATTTGCAAGCATTTTCGCCGGTAAATAAAGGAGATACAAGCAAAAGTGTCCAGAAAAACCTGCCAGAAGCGAACGTAAAATGCCACCTTGCAAAAAGCTAAAATCTGCACTACTATTCTGATTTCGATGCGGATTGCGGCTAATCCCAATAGAAGATTTGATTTCAGATGTCTCTCCCAATGTCCAATTGATTTCGTCGGTAAATAAAGGAGATACAAGCAAAAGTATCCAGAAAAACTTGCCAGAAGCGAACGTAAAGTGCCACCTTGCAAAAAGCTAAAATCCGCACTACTATTCCGATTTCGATGCGGATTGCGGCTAATCCCAATAAATGATTTCAGATGTCTCTGCCAATTTGCAAGCGATTTCGCCGGTAAATAAAGGAGATATAAGCAAAAGTGTCCAGAAAAACCTGCCAGAAGCGAACGAAAAGTGCCTGCAAGAACGAAGCTAAAATCCGCACTACTATTCCGATTTCGATGCGGATTGCGGCTAATCCCAATAGAAGATATGATTTCAGATGTCTCTGCCAATTTCCAAGCGATTTCGCCGGTAAATAAAGGAGATACAAGCAAAAGTATCTAGAAAAACTTGCCAGAAGCGAACGTAAAGTGCCACCTTGCAAAAAGCTAAAATCCGCACTACTATTCCGATTTCGATGCGGATTACGGCGAATCCCAATAGAAGATATGATTTCAGATGTCTCTGCCAAATTGCAAGCCATTTCGCTGGTAAATGAAGGAGATACAAGCAAAAGTATCGAGAAAAACTTGCCAGAAGCGAACGTAAAGTGCCAATTCAAATGTCTCTGCCAATTTCCAAGCGATTTCGCCGGTAAATAAAGGAGATACAAGCAAAAGTATCCAGAAAAACTTGCCAGAAGCGAACGCAAAGTGCCACCTTGCAAAAAGCTAAAATCCGCACTACTATTCCGATTTCGATGCGGATTGCGGCTAATCCCAATAGAAGAGATGATTTCAGATGTCTCTGCCAATTTGCAAGCGATTTCGCCGGTAAATAAAGGAGATATAAGCAAAAGTGTCCAGAAAAACCTGCCAGAAGCAAACGAAAAGTGCCTGCAAGAACGAAGCTAAAATCCGCACTACTATTCCGATTTCGATGCGGATTGCGGCTAATCCCAATAGAAGATATGATTTCAGATGTCTCTGCCAATTTCCAAGCGATTTCGCCGGTAAATAAAGGAGATACAACCAAAAGTATCCAGAAAAACTTGCCAGAAGCGAACGCAAAGTGCCACCTTGCAAAAAGCTAAAATCCGCACAAACTTGCCAGAAGCGAACGTAAAGTGCCACCTTGCAAAAAGCTAAAATCCGCACTACTATTCCGATTTCGATGCGGATTGCGGCTAATCCCAATAGAAGATATGATTTCAGATGTCTCTGCCAATTTGCAAGCGATTTCGCCGGTAAATAAAGGAGATACAAGCAAAAGTATCCAGAAAAACTTGCCAGAAGTAGAACATCATCCCCAGATCCTCATGCACAATGTTCCTCACTGTCTTGGGATCAATGCCGGCCTCCCTGGCCGTCTTCCTGAAGGACCTTTGGGGTTGTCGGCAATCTTGTTCCGGATACCCTTGATCATCTCTGGCGTGCATACGATCCTCTTTTTCCCACCCCTGGACCTGGGCTGACCACTGCCATACCCCTTATAACGGTTGATGGTCTTGTAGACCACGTCTTGGGTGGCCTTCAGGTTCCTCAATTCCTTCACGATGTCCACTGGGCGGTTTCCCGCCTTGTACCTCTTCACAATGAGGTCGTAGATCTCCGGCATCTTCAGGCAGATTCGTGTTAATCCAACTTTTTTTGTTTACAAATTGCTCGTCCTACTAGAAAAAATTTATCTAGGAAAATAAACAAAAATTGTCACGCAACCTGACGCATCCATATTAAAAATAGCCGATTGACGTCCCCACCCTGTAGAGAATAAGCTGTGCTTGGACCAGGAAGAATGGAGGGAGGGTGGGATCAATGATCATCAGCAAGAAATTTAAAACAAAATATCCTATTCAAGAAAAACAAAATATTGAAGAAGAACACATGAAAATCAGGCCAAAGAACTTGAAAACCAATATTTAGAGGGAAAAAGGGACAGTCCATTGTGGGCATTAAAAGGTCTCGCAATCCCGAACCATTATAAAATACGATATAAAACCTAACTTACTCGGAGCATAAGACGGAGCATAAAGATATTAAGAACAATGATGAGAATGGAAGAGGAAAATGCCAAAAAACTGGCGAGAAAAACGAAATGAAACAATGAAAAACCGTTTGAAGATGAGCGACCAAAGGGTAAGCCACTTTAGCTATCGGCCATCTTGAAAGCGGCAAAGTTTGTTTGAATATTTTTTTTCTGGTTACTTTTTCAACCTATTTCGTCCAGTGTTCAACTTGATAGTTTCTCCTTGTACGAGCAGCAGGTACATGTGAATAATGTCCTTGGCTTGGCTTTACCACAATGTCACTCAGCTGAAGCTGTTGCAGCAAACTTGGATGGACATCATGTCTTGCTTGGGTGGGGTTCATTACTATGTGTTCGCTTGATTCAGCAGAAATAGGAGCATGGTTAAGAAATGGCCTGATAAAAAGTTCCAAGTTTAATATCTGCGCTGCCTGAAATGCTTGGTGGATGAGGATAGTAGAGGACTCATCACTGCATTCTGTGCAACCCTGTGGTTCAAAGAGTCACTCTCCTGCTTGGAGGTTTATTTGCAGGGATTTTTCCTGAGTCCCATCTTTCGCTTGATTGAGACACTCTTTCAAAGGAATATCCCATAAATAAGTGTCCAATTCGAGCTTGCCAAAAAAAAAGTGTCCAAACTTGCTTAACACAAATGAAATACTAGAAAGCAATCAGGCTGAAAGCTGGTAATTCATTGAAATTAGTCCACATGTGTGGGCACGGGAACTCAAGGGGTCAAGGCAGGGCCGATTTAATAATAGCCCAGGGCAAAAGAGGGCCAGGCCCCCCCCCCCCTTCCCGCTAGCCCCGACTATTTGATTGAAATACTTTTTTATTTTAAAATTTCTTCAGGGGGGGGGGGGGTCACTGGAGGAGTGAGGCCCAGGGCATAAGTCCCCTTTGTGCCCTCCACCCCTAATGCGGCCATATATTTTGAAACTTTACTCATGTTCGAACATTGGGACTGAACAACTAAACTCCACCATGACATCATTGTGGGGAACATGGCTACCCCTATAGCGCTGCAAGTTCAAGCAAATCAGGCACAATCTATGAAGTTAACAGGTCACTGAACATATAGCTGAGTCCGGAAAGAATATGGGTCTACATTTTCTCACTTAACTTGGACAGCTCAATGCAAGCCAACCTTCTCCTAACTGCCACCACCATAACACTAGGCCTATGCAACCTAGGAGAACATTATAAGATGACATACTTAAGTTAACCCTTTAGAAAGGGTGAATCCAGCTATTTAGCTGCTTTTTAGTGAACAGCTCATGTATGAAATGCATTGTCTTGCCAATTTTTTAAATTTTCCAACCAGGGCAAATATAGGAGTGATATTAAAATATCTCTCATTCATCCAAAGGAGGATTGGGAAAAGGAAAACCATTCATGAAATTGTTGATGGAAGTTCAAAGAAGAAATGATCCCTTGTAGTTTATGTGTCTAAAAATGTGCATTATGCAAGTCATATGGTGCAGGACATGAATGGATAACTTTATGCATGCATCCCCAGGTAACACATCCATGTGGAAACAACATTGAAACAATGTTTCATGGCAACATTTATAATGTTGAAACAACATTGAGGTGCCACACTGATTCACTGTGAAAATGTCATTTTTGTCAACATTGTTTCAACATCTGTTCTGCAAACAGCACCAAAGCTTTGTATGCCTAACTGGATTGTAAAACTAGGATAAATACTCTCAGCTCCTCTCTATTCTCTCCTCTAGGCTATCTGTAGACTTTGAATCTTTGTCCAATAGACTGATGCTATGAACTTCATTTTAGCCATTGCCTCAATCTTTGTTTACTCTCACATAACAATAAACAAGACAAGCAAAGTGACTCTATTGATTTTTATGTGTCATTCTTGTTCTATGTACTGTTCTGATCTCATTTGTGGTATCATGCAACAGGCTGAAGTTTGGATCTGTTGAGAATAGACCTGTAAATCACCATGTAACGTAGATGTACAAAACATGCTCTCACAAAGACAAATTAATAGATACGCCAGAGCAGAGGCAGACTTCATTCTCAACTGCCTTTCTGGAGCAGGAATAATTGATAGCATGACCGGTGCAAGTTGGGAGAGTGCTACATGGAGTTCACAGGGTTCTGTTCAGCAACTGTCTTTAGCCTCTCCAGGAAGTAGCAGTCAGACTTCAATGTTTTCATAGAGTGAAGCAAATAAGTCTCTTGAGCCTTCACTTGGTAGTGCCTCATACCTAGGTGGCTCTCAATCACCATGAGAAAATATCCAAGATCCCAGTAGTTCTGGAATCTTGAGGCAAAGATTTGTGAACTGGACTCATCAGGATAATATAACTAAAAAAGCTGTGAAATAAGTCTTAGAAATCTTTAGACCTTTTGTCTCCTCCTTGCCAAAAGATGCTATAACACTTCTGCAAACAATGCGGCATAGTGGAGTGCGTTCCATGGGTAATGGGAAGTATGCCTACCTGGAACTCACTGCTGGCCTTTGCATGAATTGCAGGTCTTGGCCAATGGAGAATGATTCAATTGAAGTCTTAATAAATATTGATGGCTTACCTCTATATGAGAACTCAAAGTATGAGTTCATCCTCATGCTTGCTGTCATCAAAGATGACCAACAAATCAGGAGACCATATGTTGTTGCATTATATGCTGGTGAAGGAAAGCCCTCTGTCCATGACTTCCTGCAAGATTTCATGGATGAAATAAATCCCCTATATCTGTCTGGCTTTCAGAATGGAAAAAATGCATATAAATTCTGCATATATGCTTTTGTTTTTGATGCTGTGGCCAGGGCATGGTTGAAACAAATCAAACCTCACAATGGTTATAGCTCATGTGAAAAGTGTGAGGAGGAAGGAGAGATACTTGACAGGCAAGTGACTTTCCCTTGCACTAATGCCTACCTAAGGACAAATGAGTGCTTCTGGAGTCGAAGAGATGAGGAACATCATATTCCAAATGAAGTGTCTCCTCCGGAGCAGCTCCCAATAGCAATGATCACTCACTTCCCTTTAGACCCCATGCACCTTCTATATCTTGGTGTCACACACAGATTGATAACGTCTTGGACTTCGGGAAGTTTACGAGTTTGACTTTCAGGAGCACGTAGACTGCGAGTCTCAAGACGGCTTCTTTGCACGAAGAATCACTTTCCCTAGGAATTCAACTGCAAACCTCGTGGGTTAGTTATGATTAGGATGTGGAAAGGAACTGAATTTTGCAGTTTTCTTTTGTATACGGGTGTCCTTCCTCTTCATGGAATATCGAAGAAAGACTTATATGAGCACTTTCTTCTTCTCCATGTTGCAACTTGGATAATGAAGAGTCCATTGACATCTTCAGTGCTTCTAGATGAGGCAAGGGTATTTCTCACATGCTTTGTTCACCAAGCATGTCAGCTATATGGTCAAAGGATTGCTTCTTATACTGTCCATTCAGTGCATCACCTTCCTGATGATGTTTCAATCCATGGGCCACTTGAAAATTTCAGTACTTTCCAATTTGAGTCGCTCTAGGCATCCATCAACGGCCTAATTCACACTCCTACCCTTTCGCTCGAGCAAGTTGTGTTGCAGCTTCATGAGCAGGAATACCATAGACCGATGACAGAGTTACCCAAAAAGCAGCAGGAACTTGAACCTTGTATGTGAGAGCTCTAAGAGGTGTTGGAAAACTTCTGTATAATAAGTTTGAAGTTGTCATTGGATCTCAAAAGGGTGATGGATGTGAACTGATGAATGGAATATTTATGAAAGTAGATGCCATTGAATTCACAGAGTTGGGGAAACCACCCCTGTATGGAAGAGAAATAAAGAAACTGTTCCATCCTGTTTATACTAAACCCCTGAATTCCATTAATTTGGGAATTTTTTTTGTCAGAAAATGTCTTCACATTTTATGCTCCTTCCTGCCTCTTGGGTCACCAAAAAACCTTTTTTGCTCCCATCCTTTCAACCCCGTGGAATGGTTGTGCTGCCATTAGATGTGGTTTAATGTTGCTGACATGTGCTTTGCTATGACTTTTTAGAAAGTTCTAGAATTTCAAGAAATTTATTTAAATGGTCCTACCTGCATTTATGGCATTATTTGCAACGATTGTTTACATTATTAGAGTTTGCATAGGTTTCTACATATGTGCAAAGTATAAGGAAAAGTGGCAAGCTACATTAATTTCATCATTCTGAAAGCCATTAGCATTAGAGGGATAGTTTTTGACTGTGCATGTAGATGAGGAGCCATCAGTGTGATATTGCATTCTCACCAAGACAAGTCAGAATTCAAGGGTTTTTTGGTGAAATTTCACCATTCATGATGTCACCGACAACCCAGTATTGCATTGTGTTTTTTCCTGGATCAAATGAAGTGGAAGTTGTTCCGAAGACTTGGATAAATGGAGGTCGTTGCTCATGGCCGATAGGAAAGTGTGACATATCAACGCTAGTGAGGAAGGCTGTGAAGCTGATTCATCCTGGGCTACATTTCCAGTTGTCATCAAAACAGACCTATGGTGAGAAAACATTTTAATGATTCAAACTCAAGTGCCTAATATGCTCCTCATTCCCATGTAACTTCTTTTTATTAATTAATGTCATCAGTGACTGACCTAATTCAGACAAAATTGACCATAACATGGAAGTCATATGATTCCAGTGATTACCAGTGAAAATGAAAGTTGGAGGTCAAATTGCCTGGAAGATGACATTGCTGATGTAGCAGCTATGCCAATGAGTGCAAAACCTCCCCAAAAATGAACAAAGCGAGTCTTAGCCATGACTTACTTGAATCATCAACATAAAGAACATGGACTGCAAATCAAGTGAAAGTCACTTTGCATCTGGCCCAGGTAGGTGGATTTATTTGCAATTTGCTACTTTCTTTTTTAAAGATTTTAAGACTTTGTCTTATGATTCCTCCCTAGGTTCTGAATTCCATGATGCTGAGGTGAAATCAAAACATCTTAAGAAGCAGATTCATGGAAATGTCAGCAAGCCATTACGTGAGAGTTATCCTCATGGTGAGAGTTCCTATGGGATTCCTGAAAAATTCACAACAGCGATATCTGCCGCACAATCGTTTGTCAGACAGAAAGGTGAGCAAGAGCTTTTGAACTTGTAGACCATGCTATTCTCATCTTGAAATGCTTTGATTTCCCTGCTTGAATTTTAAAATGGTTCTTGCACATGCTTCTGTCTTATTTTCTCACTTCAGCCACTCAGTTAAACTAGGGTCCAATTCAGCTTCTTAGTGAAATAGAAGTCGATTTTAGCTTATTCACAATGTTTACTTGACATAATTCAATTCCAGTTGACAGCTTTCATGTCACTTATCTCTCCTAATTTTGGCCAATGGTTCACATCTAAAATTTAAAGAAAGATTGTGTTTCTATTGCTCAGCAATCCCATGCACCAGAACCATGTTGGAGAACTCTGCCATGAACCTCAGATGATTTCAGTTTCGCTTCTAAAGGAGATAGATACCAAGCATACCTGTATTTTTTGCTCTAGGATGGTTTGTCACACGGGATGGATGCACAAAAGGTTTCGGCCTGTAGTCAGGCACACCCCCATAAAAACACAGTAGAGGGTTACACTGACCTATCCATGGACCCAGCCCATGCGAACCGGTTAACATCCCGCGAGAGCGTTATCCCGCAGGAGCCATGGGGCTCTACTTCATCTTATTTGGTTTTTAATATTACATTGCTGGCATATGAAGTCTATATGCAGTGTTTATAAAATTAAGTCCATCTGATAAAACTTACTGCCATTAATAGTGAAAATGATTTGGCACAGATTCTCTTTTTAAACACCACGTAATGCTTCCTCTCTATGTGGAACAAAGTTATTCATACGAATATATCCAAGTACAGATGCTAATTTTCTATCAAACCTACATTTAAAAAAAATTGCTTTAAGAAGGAAAAAAAAATTCTGTTTTGCAGCTGCTAATGAAGTGGTCTCAACAATCTTGCCATTTTCCTTTCACCCTAGCATATTTTTTTTTTCTTTTTTACTGGCTGCTTTCATCAAGTCTCTCAGGGAATTTTCATTTATGAGAATCTTTTTTTTCTTTTCACAGATGAACCAGGGTTCACGCTAGCTTTTCTGAACCTTGAATCCTGGCACCTATTTTCAGCTGTCAGAACACATTCAGGTGCTTGTCAATGAGTCCTGCGGAATCATATGTTTCGCAAACATCCCTCCAAGAAAATATGAGTCAGGGACTCGCTGTAGCGAGTTACCGTGAACCCTGTAAACTTGTTGGTGACATGTATGCTTGATTGCGTATTTTTGCTTTAGAATTTTCCACCTTTGCAACAGGAGCCATCAATCTTCTGACAAGCATACGCCAAGGGGTTCGGTCCCAGAGCAAGTACTTTGCTCGCTGGGAGAGCTTTGCAGGCATGCAAATGCTCAAGTCCCACAGTTATGCAACCTCCCTATCACATCTCCTGAGGCATTCCTGCATCTTTGTAATTCAATGGGAAGTAATGAAAAGGATGCTTTGGTAAGAATCATGAAGCAATTGGAAACTATATGTCTCTCTGGATGGGAGCTGTAGCAAACAGTGGAAATCAATGCCCAAGTCCAAAATAGATACAGCTCACTCCTCAGAACTGCAGTTAATCTGGAGTTCAGAAAATCTAGGTTTGTATCATATATCTTTATTATCCATTTCATTCTGAACCCTTGAATGTCATGTATTGCCAAACTTAAGGCCACATGTTATTCCTGGTATTCCATGAAGAAAATCCACCGGCAAGCAGATTCACTCCCCAACAGTTCCTTTGAACAATCTGCAAGAACTGCAATTTCATAGTTTGACTGCCCACCAAGTGCTGCACAATCTTGAAAACATGTATTTGCTGTATGACTTCCCATACGGAAAGGTCATATATGGTAGTTATATGCAATTATCTGTGCCTTATAATTTTATATATCCATCAAGTACTGAAATGTGCATGCACGTATATGCTGGCATATATGGTTGGAGCATATGATTCATGTAAGGATTATTCATATATTAAACATACCAGGGCAGTATATATGTTCTGTATAAAAGAATTATACAATTTGAGGGATTGACTCCTACATATATGGTACACCTAGTTTAAGTACATGGTTTTTATGAAGAAGTTTCACATATTGTGAATACACACTCCGCATGCATGCTTTCATTTAAAAAATGTGTGTTGCTGGAAATGTATATTGTACCATATGCATATGGGATATATAATTTAGATGGTATGGCCATATGGTATGAAAAACAAATACTTTATGGCCTTACCGTATGAAATTTACAAGTGCTTCATGCTGGAAAGGTTTTGCTGCTCTTTTACATGGTGGTTGTAATTCTGTATAATGGCTTGCATGAAATTCCTTATGAAGTAAGCCATTCATTACTTAATTACTTATACCATGTTTTGAAAGGCTAAATATGTTAATACACTGTACACTTATGGAACTGTAGGAATTGAAAAAGAGTAGGGCACACTCTGAGGCTTTAAACACAATCAGGCCATTCTCATGATTCCCATTATGAGGTAAACATTAAACCAATGCTGAGTGGCAGGGATGTGAAGAAACTGCTGTGATTTCACTTTCATTTTCTTCTTCCCTCATTGGAAGTACTAATTGACAGATTGCATAATTGATGGTACAACTTGAAATTGATATGGACATCTTTGTTCACTTATTCCAACATGTTTCATTTTCAGTAAATTAGTGAATGGTTTTTGTATTTTCACAGAAGTAACAAATGAAGTGCCAATTCTCAACTTAGTTCCAGAAGTCAATTTTGACATTTGGGAGAGACTTGCAAGAGTTTCATGATTTCATGTATGTTTCAAACCTGAGTTGGTCATGTATCTAATCAGGTGTGACATATATGCCTTACCATATACTAGATATGTAGATAAATATATTAAATCATAAAAGTTTCTTATCTTCTCCACCATATCTTTTATATACATGCTTATAAAATTCTTATCGTAGATCTCTGGCTGCATAGTTTGGACATACATGCCATTCATGAAGTACCATAGTTTTTAAAAAGGAGCAAGTGAGTGATAATCTGATTGAATTTCAGCTATTTACCTCCATAACAGGATGATGTGCCAGTTGGAGGAAGTGAAGGGAGGATGTGAACAACTACCTTTGGGCTAAGGAGACCGGAGAGATGAGTCGGCTGAGCCAGGGGCTGCTTTCCGTTCCCAAAAGCAGAGGCATCAATCCTCCTTCCCATTAAAAACAAAGGTTGAAAGAGATCTCTTTCATCCCTGGAACACAATGCACCATCCACCCTGGTATGGCCTCATCTTGATGTTTAGTACGACCCGCCACACCAGACAATTGACACATTGCAGTTTGGTGCAGTTTGTAGGAAAATAATTTCTCAAGGTCCTGGTCTTTGAAGTGGGCAAGCTGATCTCACCACAAGGTTTGAATCCCAAACTCAGAAATAGCCCAAAGCTCAAGCAGTGTTTACTTATGTGCTGCATAAAACTGTTGGTGTAATAAAGCTTTAAACCTCCATTAGTGTTGCCAATGGAATTTTAAAGCTTCATCACGCTAATCCCAAACTCAGAAATAGCCCAAAGCTCAAGCAGTGTTTACTTATGTGCTGCATAAAACTGTTGGTGTAATAAAGCTTTAAACCTCCATTAGTGTTGCCAATGGAATTTTAAAGCTTCATCACGCTTAAGTTAGTTTTATGCAATCCACACTTGTGCATGTAATTCATTTAGGGGAGATAATGGGGTCTTTAGGCTAGGGAGCTCTCCCATGGGAGTATAGATTTTCTTAAAAGATCATTAGCTTAAAGAGGTTTTAGCTTTTGGTGCTATTTAGTATCCTTGATTGTCAATAATGTTGATGAAACAGGAAGTATCCATATCCACTTTTTTTTTTAAAACAAAATCAGTATAACAAAGGATTTGGAAACTGAGTAAGCTTTTACTCAAATGAAGAGCTTGGTTGCATTGCAGCTGATTTCCTTTACACAAACGAGAGACTCTGTATGACTCAGGACTTTGTCAAACTTTGCAAGTGGTGGCAAGTGGGGGAAAGAAGATGGACACATTTTGGAATGTAATAACTTTGGTGTTCATGTATATAGTGCATTCAAGCAGCATTTCAGAATTTACCTCAGACACAGAACTTGATGTTTCTGTTTTGAAGGTTATGTTCTGCAAATAACCTCCCTGATGCTTAATACACTCCCTGGCAAGAGCGATGAAATTGCGGTGGCATCAATCGAGGGAATAATTGGACCTTCTTTTTAAGGATAATGATTGCAATAAGGCGTGTAACTGTATCTTTTATATACATGCTTCTTATAAAATTCTTATATGGCCTTGCCATGTATGGTCACGTACTCATTGTTTCAATAGCAATATATGATTAGATATATTTTCCCATATATGTTCATATGATAGACCATATATGTCCCATACATCGTATATGCCCATTTCTTATAAAATCATATGTGATTTTTCCGTATGTGTTCTCACAAGGGAATAGTGGCTTCAATAGAGGGAATAATTGGACCTTATTTTTTGAGGATGATGATTGCAATACAGTGACAGTAATATGTATATACATCATCTCCATATCTTGTATCTATCTTTGGTGGCATTGAATGGCCACGAAGGTCATCGGACCTGACCGCACCAGACTTTTTTCTCTGGGGCTTTTTTAAAGTCAATTAGTATGTCATCAGATCATGTACCATGCAGGAATTAAAGAACAGGATCCATGAGGATTTGCAGTATTCCACATGACATGTTGTCTGCAACCATGAACAATGCCATCGCTTGTGCCAGAGAGTGTATTACCTGTCAAGGAGGTTATTTGTAGAAAATAATTGTCAAATATATAAATTACATACATTCCAGTATCTGTTCTACATTCTGAGTGTTGTTTAGATGCATTATATACATAAGCACCAAAGTTATTACATTTCAAAATGTGTTCACCTTCTCTGCCCCACCTTGTATTTAGCCGCTGTGGCTTGCCGATGCAAGGAGATCTGGAGTCCCTCACTGATAGTGATTTATAAGTCTCTCTCCCTCTCTGTTTGCCTCCTCCAGTTTATCCTTGTCAAATCATTTGGAGGCCTTTTGTTATTGTGACTGATGTTACATTTACTCTTTGTGAACATCGCCTGCTATTTTTCTATTGCACTGATTCAGAAACAGTGAATCTCAGCTGAGTACTCTGATCTTTCCTTGTCTTCCTCCCCCCCGAAGGAGGAAACTATGTGTCGTCAGGAAATTGTCTGTTTTTACTCGTAATCATTACTGTAGACCACAAACAAAAGCTGTTCCAGAACATAGCCTAGGGATTCTGCTCACAACCCTGACTTCTGCTGACACTTCTCTGTTTACAGATACTCTCTTTTCTTTCATCCTAACTGCCAAATTTTTTTTTTGAGTTACTCACATTGCCATGTATTCTGTGTGCTGCAATTCAGCCTGGAACCTCTAGTGAGGAAGGGTATCAAAAGCTGGTGCAAAGTCTTAGTAGACGATATCCATGGGATTGCCTTCACCCCTCTCACCTTTCACCCAATCCTGTGATTAGAGCAAAGTTGCTGAGATGAATAGTCCTTTATTCTTGAAGCACGTGTTGGACTTACATGTTCAATGTATGAAAAGGCCTAATATGGTTTCATGGGTCATCCAGAAGTTCTTGGTTTTTTTTCCACAAGTAATTTCTTTCTCTTCATGGTTTCATGAAATTTCCCAGAAATGTTCTATAGAGTGATACCTCCTGAACCTTCAGTGGGATCTAAGCACTAAATGAATCATTTCCAAAGGCTCCTGACGAATGTACGTGCTAAAGATATTGAAATCTTTTGATGCACCCAGGGGGACCTCTGATCTGTCTGGTTGTCTTGCATCTGGCCATTTCTTGAGTACGCCTGCCCTTCCCGGAGCAGCTCCCTGACCTGCCGAGCCATAAATGCCATGGAACAGGTGCAGAAGCATGCCCTGTGCTTAATCCTTGAGCATAAATGTGAAACTTGCAAAAAAGGCCTTGTTGACCCTTGGCATCCCATCCTTACAAAAAAAGACAGTAATTATATAATATAACTGCACGCCCGAATTCGGTATGCTCAATGCAATATATACGTTCCTCGTGGTCATTAATACGACTTGTGACTGTTCATTTCTTGTGCAGATGCATGAGTTTGGAATTATTGAACATTTACTCTGTGTTTTCATCAATAATATAGTCCCGTCTCACACATCATAGCAGCAGCTGCCGTCTTTCTATGAGGTGTTATTTAGTCTTGAAAGCAGAAAAGTGAATATGCTGTCTTCCTATCATCTCATTGAAGAACGTAATCTAATTTAGGCTCAATATTTAGACTAACGTTCACGTTCAATCAGCTTTTTTGAGTTTTCACTAAACCCAAGTGCACTCTAACCTCAGGGAACCAGCGATTAACACATACCGAGTGAGCTGCATTCCGTCTATGTTGGGCCGAAAGAGTGAGAAAGTCAAGCAATTTTGGGGGATGGTGGGTCAGCTGGGTTTGGCCTTTGACACCGAATCAATGTTAAGACTGACTCCAGGACAGAATGGAATGAGGAATCTAACCATGTAAAAACCAAATCTAACCTAACCTAACCTGCTGGTGCACGATTATTCCAGAATCATGAATAAGCCACTATTATTATTTTGATTATTATTATCTCAGTCTTCATAATATTCTAGTTCTGTAGGACACGGTGGAGAACGTTGGCCATGCCCAAGATTGCCGTATGCTGGAGGATGTCGAGGGATATCTGGCATCACAGTTGCTGGACATGTTTCCTGAGATCCTGTAGCACAACACTGATTGTGCCAATGATGGGAATGATGGTTGTCTTCAGAACACAACCGTTAAACTTCCAATTTGCAGTCCAGCTTCTCCCAGGTCTTCACTTGGAGGTTGTTATCAGCTGGTACCCTCACGTCTACTAGGAGTGCGATCTTTTACTCCTAGATTGTGAGATCTGGCCTGTTACAGATGATGGGGCAGTCTGTTGTTATTAGTATGTCCAAGAGTGCCATCACAGACTGGATGGTGTTCATACCACTTTGGAAGTCCACTCTGGGACATCCAAGCCGGCATGCTTGCAGACACACCAGTTAACGTATTTGCATACCTGATTGTCCCTGTACAAGTACTCTTTTTTAATTAATGTCATCAGTGACTGACCTAATTCAGACAAAATCGACCATAGCATGGAAGTCATATGATTCCAGTGATCATCAGTGAAGATGAAAGTTGGAGGTCAAATTGCCTGGAAGATGACATTGCTGATGTAGCAGCTATGCCAATGAGTGCAAAACCTCCCCAAAAATGAACAAAGCGAGTCTTAGCCATGACTTACTTGAATCATCAACTTAAAGAACATGGACTTTAAATCAAGTGAAAGTCACTTTGCATCTGGCCCTGATAGGTGCAGTTTTTGGAATTTGCTTCTTTTTTTAAAAAGATTTTAAGACTTTGTCTTATGATTCCTCCCTAGGTTCTGGATTCCATGATGGTGAGGTGAAATCAAAACATCTTAAGAAGCAGAGTCATGGAAATGTCAGCAAGCCATTACATGAGAGTTATCCTCATGGTGAGAGTTCCTATGGGATTCCTGAAAAATTCACAACAGCTAAATTTGCCACACCATCATTTGTCACACCGAAAGGTGAGCAAGAGCTTTTGAACTTGTAGAAGACCATGCTGTTCTCATCTTGAAATGCTTTGATTTCACTACTTGAGTTTTAAAATGGTTTTTGCACATGCTACTGTCTTATTTTCTCACTTCAGCCACTAAGTTAAACTAGGGTCCAATTCAGCTTCTTAGTGAAACAGAAGTCGATTTTAGCTTATTTACAAAGTTTTTCTTGACATAATTCAATTCCATTTGACAGCTTCCATGTCACTTATCTCTAGGGGATGTAACGATATTATATCGGTATAGGTTATCGGGCTGATATTTACTAATCAGATAAATATCGGCATTCCGATATTTTGCTTCGTCGATATTCGATATCCAAGTGCATGATGAACGTCCGCTTCACTCAATATAAATCCAACGTAACCGCTGACACCATCATCCAGTGATGTTTCTGTCAGTATTTTTGCTTATGTAGTCACAGACCTACCTCATAAACATTGGGCGCCATAAACGCTTCCCTGAATCCAGTTGTCATATATCAATACTCTACACCGTTCTCGCTGAAGGGAGTCTAATGACATTTGACACCTGTTTGGAGGGAGAGAGACTGTAAATTTGAATGGAATCGGGAGTCAGTACTACGCCTACAGATGCAGGCACCATGACAGCCCTAATAGCAATGGGATTCTGCTCCGCTTAAATGATCCGCATGTAAGCCTTTGAAGTTATATGTATTTGTTTGTCTTGTGAACATCATGAACATCCCTTCTACACAAGACTTTCACTTTTTCAGCATCAGGGTTCTGAGATTGCCAGGATAAACGCGATGCATTTATTTCTCTCTTCCCTTAATCCTGTGATTCTTCCGATCGTGATTGACTAGAAGAATGAAAGTGTGGCATCCTTAGCAATTGACGTGGAACTTGCATGTATATACGACGGGTGACTAGGAAAGGCCAGCATAATCTTCGCTCCTGGGAAAACCTTGAACCTTTCGGGATCAGGAATTTCTTTTTTTCCCTCTGTAAGCGTGCATGATGATCAAAGCAAATATAGAAACAGGAAGGAATACGTTTTCCGCAAGTTGTGCACTTGAGATGGGGCCAGTGATGGCCCCAATGAAAACAAATGAACAATGAAAAAAAGAAGCAGAAATTCAGTCAAGGTTTGACTTGGCAGGAAAAAAAAAAAAAACCCTTGACGATAATGCCGCCAAACTGCCGATTTGCGCACAAATTGTTCATCAATGCAAGCATTGGGGGCTTCAGGACCATTCAATACCTAAAAGATTATGAAAGCATGGGTTAGTCGCCGTTAGATATGCAGGATGTCTCATATCTATGTTCTGTCTCTCCCTTTTACTTCATAACCGGCTGGATATGATCTTATTGGTTGACCAGACGCCGAACACGTCTCCTCCAAGGGTTGGGAGATGAAACAGAAACTGTTATCATTAAAGAGTGAATGGCGTTTCGAAACGTTGATTCTCGCACAATTGGACAAGCATGCACAATTGCAGAATGATTTGAGCAAGGGATTTGACAGAAATGGACGATGGGAGGGTAGATGGTGTGAGATTGAGGCGGGAAAGCAACAATGGTGAGCGTCTTCCGGTTCCGTTCGCAGGATGAACAAGAATCAATGCACTCCATTTAGTTGTTGGACTAACATTAGACCTACGTCTAGGCCTACATTACTTCTCATGAAAAAAGTATTAGAAAAGCACGCCAAGATGATGTACGGTGCCATAGGATGAATCTCAGTCATAGTTACAGAAAGATTGAGCTTGGCTAAAGTGATGGCTTGCAAACGGAACGGTGAGCAGAAGTTGTGGTATGACATCGGGCATTGGTAAAGATACTAACCTCATTTGCTTACAGAGACCTAATAAAGAGGAATGAATCAGTTTTTATTAGTATGCCTAGGCCTACATATCCAAATCGGGCTACGATGGGAAAAAATTCATATGCCTAAGATTGCTTAGACCTTTGCCATGACCTGACTGAGGACATGCCTTTGTCCAATCTTTCTTGAGATGGTGTGCGGAAAGAACCAATCTAAGTTCGTTCTACTCAGAGATTAATGTTCCAATATCTATTATTGTTTATTTACCTTGATCATTTGCCATTTTTAATTGTTGAACTACTGGATTTCAGAAAAATTCCTCAATGAGTGTCTACTGGAATTACTTCTCCAAAAACCCAGTAAATGAACTCATTGCAACATGAAATCTATGTGGTCTGGATGTAAAGCGAGGAGGAACTAATCTAAATAAGTGTGGCACAAAGAACTTAGCATCCCACTTGAAAAATCATCATAGAGAAGTGTCTGAAAAAATTGAAGGCCATGCTAAGAGGAAGAGACAAATTAGTTTCAGTGCACAGGGACTTTTACAACCTGACTTCCTTCCTTCAGGAAGTGAAAGAAGGCAGCAACTTGAAGAGGAAGGTTTAGATGATCCAGGAATATCCCCTGTCTCATCACAAGCAACATCATCATTGTCACAGGGAAGACCTAGATATACTGCTGATGGATCACCTCAGTTACGACAGATAAGTTTGCAGGAGTCCATCTCAAGAAAACAGCAATGGAAGGCTAATGATCCCAGGAAATTACAACTTGATAGGTCTGTAGCTGAGATGATAGCCCTGGACTTCCAACCATTCTCCATGGTTGAAGATATAGGGTTTCAGAGGCTGATGGCAGCTGCAACACCACGATACAAAATACCCTCGCGACCCTACATCAGTGAGACAGTTATGCCTCAGCTGTATGACAAGCTCAAGGTGAAGCAGAGAAATCTCTTGAAGAACATGGATGCCCTCAGCTTCACAATGGATATTTGGACAGATGTTGAAAGTTTTGTTGGTATCACAGTACACTTTGTCACATTGGACTTTCAGTATAAATCAACTGTTCTGGCTGCAACACCTCTCATAGGGAAACACACTGGTGAGAACATCATGTTGAGAGTTGAAAATACCTGGAGGGATTGGGGAATCCCACATTCACAAGTTGCATGTGTTGTATGCGATAATGGGGCAAACATGAAAAAAGCAATTGACCTTTTGAAGTGTCCTGCTTCACCCTGTGCAGCACACACCATTCAGCTAGTTGTAGAGAATTCTGTGCTCTCACAAAGAGCAGTCTCTGACCTTCTTGCCCTTTGCAGGCATATAGTTGGGAGATTCAAGCATTCTGCCAGTGCAAGGGATAAATTTGCTGAACTCCAGGTACAGTACAATTTACCAAAACATCAAATGGTGCAGGATGAGCCTACCAGATGGAATAGCAAATTGTATATGCTCCAGCGCCTTCTGGAGCAGAAACCTGCAATTATTGACTTTACATCTGATGAGGATGCTATGCCACAGCTACAGGCTAATCACTGGACTTTAATGAAGGGAATGATAATGCTTCTCACACCACTAGAGGAATTCACCAGGAAGGTGAGTGCTGTACAGCAACAGTTTCTCTGATTGGTCCCCTTCTGTGGGGCATGAAAGAAGTGTTGGAGTCACAGTCATGTAGAGGAGTTGAAACCATGAAAACAGAGATCTTAACTGGAATAGATGCAAGATTTAAACCCTTGCTACAAGGAAAGATTGTGTGTCTCTCAACCCTTCTGGATCCTAGAATCCAAGCTGCCATGTTTCCCAATCAGGAAATCAGACATAGAGCTGAAAATTTTCTAAATGAGGAAATGCAAGGCTTGTCAGAATCTGAAAGCATGCTTGAAGGTGAGCAAGTTTTCAAGCATGGACAAGTGCAGGTTGAGGGTGAATCACCCATCTGGGCTGCCATCCAGCACAGACTATCACAGTCACTGTGTGGGGGGGAAGGGGAACAGCAAGAGGAGTGTTATTCCTTGTCATGCATCCGTGGCCAGGAAACCACAAACTATCTTTCTTCTCCTACCATTGCAATTAATGAATCTCCCTTCATATTCTGGAGAGACCAAGGACCTCAGTATCCAAGACTGAGCCAGCTTGCAAAGCAGTATCTTAGCATTCCAGCTTCTAGTGTTGCCAGTGAGAGACTTTTCAGTAATGCTGGGATGGTGTACACTGACCAGCGAAAGCGTCTGTCTCCAGAAAAGGCAAATATGCTTCTCTTTATACGAAGCAACTTGAAATTCTTCAACTTCGAGTACTAAGTGAAACTACACCCTCCAGTGTTGTAGAAATGTTTGTAGGAAGCAATAAACCAGAAGGAAAAAAAAAACTAGTTTCCCTGCCCTCTTTTTCTTTTCTTGGATTCTTGTTTGAAAGCTTCATTCAAATTTTTTCCCCATAATATCGGATATCGATATCGGTTATCGAATATCGGAATACAAAATATCGTATTATCGGAATATCGGAAAATCCTAATATCGTTACATCCCTACTTATCTCTCCTAATTTTGGCCAATGATTCACAAGTAAAATTGAAAGAAAGATTGTGTTTCTTTTGCTCAGCAATCCCATGCACCAGAACCATGTTGGAGCACTGTGCCATGAGCCTCAGATCTTTTCAATTTTGCTTCTAAAGGAGATAGATACCATGCATACCTGTATTTTTTGCTCTAGGATAGTTTATATAGATTGGTTTTTCCAAGGTTTTTTGCTAAATAAATTTACAAATCCAGTCGGATATTTGATTAATATTCCTTACATTTTGACTTATATCAGGTTTCCAAAGTGGTTCTAGGGTCATTGACATGAGGCAAGACAAATTTTAGGGCAGCTGGTACTATCTTGAGAAAGACATGTACTTTCAAGTCATTAGTGACATTCCACTATGACACTATTCCACTCCATAGTCTCCTTGTAGTCCTTGATGGTTTATGGCATCCTGCAGCTTCAGGCAAAAATATGCTATGGCAGAGGTTTACTATTAGACCTCTCCCATAGCATATGTGTAAACCAGAAATTAATAGGGTTTAGGGCAGTTGTCGGTGTGTCATACCTAACAACATATTTGCTGAACTGATTTTACCGTTAACCAGTTCATCTTTGCATATTTTCCTAGAGCTAACAGTAGCATCTGCAGTCCTATTTGAGTTCTAGAGAATATGACCGGCATAAAGCAAGCAGGGGATACCCCAGCTGGCCAGTGCTGGTATATGAGCTTCTATGAAGTTTAATTCTGCTCCGATATCATTAATAAAAAAAAGAGAAATAGGAGAGGCGATAATATGAACCCTTCCTTAACCCCGATATTGGATGAGAATGAATCTGATACGGAGTTAGGCGTCAGGCGTACGCAGTACTTTGTCCCGTCATAAATCACTATAAGAAAGTGCAAGATTTTATTACTAATGCCTATGTTATCAAGTTTTTGCCATAAAATAGGCCAATGGTTAACGCTAAATACTTTGAAGACAAAAGTTATGTGTTTCTCAGGAAAAAGAAGAAAGTCCAGGGAATTTGCCTTTCTATATGAAGGGCAACAGCTTGAAGCGGTCTGAACGTTTCCTTATCTGGGCATGATAGTATCTAAGTCAGGGTCATGGAAAGAACATGTAAAGGAAAGAACAGCTAAGGCGAAAATCGCTAGTGCTGCAGCCCTTAAGGCTCTACGTAAAATCTCCGGCTTTCAAATCCCCGAAGCTCCTTGGCTTTTTAATAGCCTCGTGGGATCAGTGGCAGGTTACGGTATGGAACTCGTTCACGATCACAACCTTTCAGATTTAGATTTTCTTATTGCCCGGTTCCTCAAAGGTCTACTGGCACTTCCAATGTCTTTCCCAAACACCCGTCTCCTGCTTTTGTTCGCATCTAGGTCATTTAAAGTTGAAGACTTCAAGAGGCGAGTCGGTTATTGGCTCAGAGTTCAAACATACCCAGCGAGCACACTTATTGGAGCAGCGTTTTTTATAGTGAGCAAAAGAAATTCCTAACGAGAGGATGTCCCTGTTGGCTTGCCTCAGTAAGAGACTCCCTACATGACGAGGGGTACTCTTATGTGTGGAACTTTCTTCCCCTCTCCAAGTCTTTTATGAGGGTGATGGTACAATTGTGTATGCTAAAAACTAGAGCCGAATGGCTAAGAAAGTTGGAAGGTATGCATGCCCTCTGCAACAACATTTAGGCAAATCTACCAGTCAGAACCTTTTATAGGAAAGTTAATCTCTTTAGACAGGAAAGGAGGACCTTTATGGCGGTTCATCTTCATTCACCGGAATTTCCCGCGTCTAATGGAACGAAACGGGGACCACATCTGCCCTTTGTGTCTTAATTCTGAATCTCAGATGCACTTTCTGATGGATTGCGAAGGATTACTTCAGATAAGGCAAAAATTCCGAGAAATAGCTAGACAAAATTCAAACATGACACTTGTTGAGTTTCTACTGGATTCATCCACCCCGATGGAGGTGGTCGACTCCTTTTTAACCGAAGCTATATCTTCCCGGAAAGCCAGCATTGAAAGATAAACGATGTCCTCTTTGTTTACGACGCCTCTGATGATGCCCATGTTTGTCATATTTGTCTCGTTACTTCTCGCGTCTTTGTCCCTAAAGCCAATTTACGTCGATTGAGTACTCTATGACGACCAATAAACTTGAATTGAATTGAATTGCATTGAACTGATTTTTGAGGATCACTTGGCTATCATATTTTGTTATGTGAGGTTGAGCTTCAGCTTGCTGAAACCAGGACTGTCTGCATGTTCAGTGTGCTTGCCCAAGCTTTGCATTCTGGTATCATGCTCTCCTCAAGGAGGCTGTCACATGATTGTTGTCAGGAACATACTTCAAGCCCCATTTCTGGCATGTTCTTCCCTTTACTACTAATGGATACATAAATATTTGATTCTCCTGCAAGTAGAGGGAGGAAGACTCTCCCAGGAGCAGTGAGTCCCTGTGTAAAAGATGATTGCATATGGCAAGGCCTCCCTGTGTCATGGCTTTGACACTTGAGCTATTCCTTTGCTTTTCAAGAAGCTTTGAAAATTAGTAGGAAAAAAAAGCATCATGTAGTAAATGAAGGTAGTTCTGGTTTCAGCAGAGTAGATCATGAACTCACACAACATGTTATAACCTTACCTCCCCACTGACAAGTTTTGTAGATCTACCTGAGTCAATATCATAAATCCCTTTTGATTTATGATTTTGCAGTCATGTCAATGCAGAGGTCTTTTGAAAGCCACTTCCTTGAAAAGCTTCTAGGTGCTCAAAAAAACCGTCACTGCAGATTTACTAGCATCATCGTTCCAAAGGTAATATCAGCTACATTTACCCCTCAACCTATTTTGATGGGCCATGCTCGTTACCCGAGTCTTTCCACACTATTAGGCATCATTGCAAATAGGGCATCAGAGAAAATCAAAGAAAACATTGAGGGCGACTGATGACAAATGAAATACGGTATTTAGCAACAAGTACAACGAGCATTTAATTACAGTTAAATAATAAAGTTGAAAAATATCACATTAAGGGGGGAAATAGCAGGAGTGGCCACTTTGAGTCCTCCACTAACTGAAGTCTGAAAGGAAAAACTAGGCCGTGTAACTTGAATTTGAACGTGACTTGACATGAGATGGGCTCCTGGGACTAAAACCCCAGAGCGGGAGACAGAATGGATCGCGACATAGCACGATCACACAGGATGGATGCACAAAAGGTTTCGGCCTGTAGTCAGGCACACCCCCAAAAAAACACAGTAGAGGGTTACACAGACCTATCCATGGACCCAGCCCATGCTGGACTGCGAACCGGTTAACATCTCGCGAGAGCGTTATCCCGCAGGAGCCATTGGGCTCTACTTCATCTTATTTGGTTTTTAATATTACATTGCTGGCATATGACGTCTATATGCAGTGTTTATGAAATTAAGTCCTTCTGATAAAATTTACTGCCATTAATAGTGAACATGATTTGGCACAGATTCTCTTTAAACACCATGTAATGCTTCCTCTCTATGTGCAACAAAGTTATTCATATGAATATATCCAAGTACAGATGCTAATTTTCTATCAAACCTACATTTAAAAAAAATTGCTTTAAGAAAGAAAAAAAAATTTTGTGTTGCAGATGCTAATGAAGTGGTCTCAACAATCTTGCCATTTTCCTTTCACCCTAGCATATTTTTTTTTTCTTTTTTACTGGCTGCTTTCATCAAGTCTCTCAGGGAATTTTCATTTATGAGAATCTTTTTTTTCTTTTCACAGATGAACCAGGGTTCACGCTAGCTTTTCTGAACCTCGAATCCTGGCACCTATTTTTAGCTGTCAGAACACGTTCTTCTGACAAGCATACGCCAAGAGGTTCGGTCCCAGCGCAAGTACTTTGCTCGCTGGGAGAGCTTTGCAGGCATGCAAATGCTCAAGTCCCACAGTTATGGAGCCTCCCTGTCACATCTCCTGAGGCATTCCTGCAGCTATGTAATTCAATGGGAAGTAATGAAATGGATCATTCAGGGGAGGGTCAGTAGGGCACTATCTTCTCAGCTGAAGGAAGATCATCCAGAAGATCAACTCCTTCAAGATTATTAAATTCATCACAGAACTTGTCTCAATTTTAATACCCCTTCCATAGACCTTTCTGTGACATATTGAACAAAACTAATAGAAGCTATTCATCATTGGCAAATGCAATGCAACTTTTCCTGTCTTCATCAAAGACATATGTCCTTCTGTAAGGAAAGTAAGAATTCTGTATTACAACTGGAAATGCCTTGGGCCAGGAACTTCAGGATTCAGGATAGTTAGTGACATCAGGAGGCAATTTCACCCATCTCGATATCACGTGTCGAGCGTTCCTTTATTTTAGGGTAGGCATATCACATGTGGTGATTTAGCCAACTCCAATTTCTCCATATGATGCAGATTAATGGCAATAGGGGAAGTAAAAGGCCCTTATACAAGGGGTGTCCAAAAATGTTATGGAAACATTGAATAGAAACATGGTTTTCATCACCACCAAATCTGGTACACAGAAACATCACTCCTCCTTTTGCCCTGAGAATAATCACTGTTTGAATCTATGCACTTTGCCATCTGCAGGGCAAGGACTATATACCCCTGCTGAAGAACCCTGTGTCTGGTGTTCAAAACAATGCAAGTTATTGTCAATTTCCCATAGACTGTTGCCAGCCATGCATCGATTAGCCCAAACATAATCCCCTCTGACAATCATCAGTTTGGTCACTTGAAGTTGGTTCTTCAAGTTCACTTTGTGGAGTACACTTCATCAGTGGCGAGGACAGGAAGTGGCTACAACAGCAAGAAACAGGCTCCTACAAAGAGGATATAAAGTCATTGCCCTCCTGATGGCAGAATTGTATAGATTGAAGCAGTGATAATTTTAAGGGCTAATGGAGGTGTGTTGCTCTGATATTGCAGTTTTGGTAGCAATGAAAACAACGGTTTAGTTATTATTAGATGTTTCTGGTAACTTTTCAGACACCCCTCGTATATGTAAAGTATATGCCTCGTATATGCCTCGAGTCAGTGCAAGGACTTGTCTTCTCTGTCACAAACCACAAACAAAAGCTGTTCCAGAACATAGCCTAGGGACTCTGCTCACAACCCTGACTTCTGCTGACACTTCTCTGTTTACAGATACTCTCTTTTCTTTCATCCTAACTGCCAAATTTTTTTTTTTTAGTTACTCACATTGCCATGTATTCTGTGTGCTGCAATTCAGCCTGGAACCTCTAGTGAGGAAGGGTATCAAAAACTGGTGCAAAGTCTTAGTAGATGATATCCATGGGATTGCCTTCACCCCTCTCACCTTTCACCCAATCCTGTGATTAGAGCAAAGTTGCTGAGATGAATAGTCCTTTATTCTTGAAGCACGTGTTGGACTTACATGTTCAATGTATGAAAAGGCCTAATATGGTTTCATGGGTCATCCAGAAGTTCTTGGTTTATTTTTCACAAGTAATTTCTTTCTCTTCATGGTTTCATGAAATTTCCCAGAAATGTTCTATGGAATGATACCTCCTGAACCTTCAGTGGGATCTAAGCACTAAATGAATCATTTCCAAAGCCTCCTGATGAATGTATGTGCTAAAGATTTTGAAATCTTTTGATGCACCCAGGGGGACCTCTGATCTTTCAGGTTGTCTTGCATCTGGCCATTTCTTGAGTACGCCTGACCTTCCCAGAGCAGCTCCCTGACCTGCTGAGCCATAAATGCCATGGAACAGGTGCAGAAGCATGCCCTGTGCTTAATCCTTGAGCATAAATATGAAACTTACAAATAGGCATTGTTGACCCTTGGCATCCCATCCTTACAAAAAAAGACAGTATCTATATAATATAACTGCACGCCCGAATTCGGTATGCTCAATGCAATGTATATATGTTCCTCGTGGTCATTAATACGACTTGTGACTGTTCATTTCTTGTGCAAATGCATAAGTTTGGAATTATTGAACATTTACTCTGTGTTTTCATTAATAATATAGTCCCGTCTCACACATCATAGCAGTAGCTGTCGTCTTTCTATGAGGTGTTATTTAGTCGTGAAAGTAGAAAAGTGAATATGCTGTCTTCCTCTCAACTCATTGAAGAACGTAATCAAATTTAGGCTCAATATTTAGACTAACGTTCACATTCAATCAGCTTTTTTGAGTTTTCACTAAACCCAAGTGCACTCTAACCTCGAGGAACTAGCGATTAGCACATACCGAGTGAGCCGCATTCCGTCTATGTTGGGCCAAAAGAGGGTCAAGCAATTTTGGGGGGTGATGGGTCAGCTGGGTTTGGCCTTTGACACCGAATCAATGTTAAGACTGACTCCAGGACAAAATGGAATGAGGAATTTAACCATGTAAAAACCAAATCTAACTTAACCTAACCTTAATTGGTCCACCATATTTGATGAATGGTTGAAAGTGTATTTTTCGAGGATTGCTTGCAACGTGAAAAGAGACACGCAGAATATCCCTGTTGTGAAATACGACAGGGGCAGAGACAAATAATAATTTCAATAAAAAATACTAAAAGTTTGAAAGTTGTCATACTTATAAGTTTGCACAAGTGATGAAGTGTCACGAATAATATTAAAACCCTCAAAGAACATAAAAATTACCTGTAAAATACTGAACCTGTGCGTGAAGCTATATTATACTAATACCAAATAGACAACTGGATCTTACAACGAATTATGCCCATGCCCTCCTAAAAAAAATCCATCACGATGGCAGGCATTGCCTCCCTACCAACAAGGCCCACCCATGAACCTGAGAAGAAACATACCATCACTTTTGGAAGAAAGTAAGTGTCGCATGCACAGATTCTACCAGTCATAATGGATGTTGCTTATCCATTATGACTCGCTTGATGATTAAAAAAAACTCCCAGAAAAGAAATCCCATAACCTTGTTACCCTTTCTGTGTGTTACCTCTTCCTATGTTACCCTTTCAATGGGATGCAATTTGCTGGGTGCACGATTATTCCAGAATCATGAATAAACCACTATTATTATTATTATTATTATTATCTCAGTCTTTCTCAAATCATATGCCGAGATAGAAAGTATGGAGGGGGATCTCAGTCTTCATGCTATTCTAATTCTGTAGGACACAGTGGAGAACGTTGGCCATGCCCAAGATTCCCGTATGCTGGAGGATGTCGAGGGATATCTGGCATCACGGTTGCTGGACATGTTCCCTGAGATCCTGTAGGACAACACTGATTGTGCCAATGATGGGAATGATGGTGGTCTTCAGAACACAACTGTTAAACTTCCAATTTGCAGGTCAGCTTCTCCCAGGTCGTCACTTGGAGGTTGTTATCAGCTGGTACCCTCACGTCTACAAGGAGTGTGATCTTTTACTCCTAGATTGTGAGATCTGGCCCGTTACAGATGATGGGGCAGTCTGTTATTATTGGTATGTCCAAGAGTACCATTACAGACTGGATGGTGCTCATACCAATCTGGATGTCCACTCTGGGACATCCAAGCCGGCATGCTCGCAGGCACACCAGTGGACGTATTTGCATACCTGGTTGTCCCTGTACGAGTACTCTTTTTGGGGCTAGTTCGGGGCTGGCATTCGGAAGATGGTGAACCGTTTCAGATGGGCCGTGACAGCATCGGCCTTCAACGTCCAGCTTCGGGATGTGCTTCTCATAATTATGAGTTCTGGTTATCATTTGTTCTGATTAACTTATTATCATTGTAATAGTTGTTGTTGAGCTCAATTCACTCCTTCTACAGTGGTGCTGGACCATGGGTACAAGGATGTAGTTCTTTGGCCTGGTCCTGGAGTAATCCTTTGTGGGCATCATTGATTGTGTCAGCGACCTCAAACCATCACGCATGCAAGCACTTGGGAAGAGAAAGAAGTCATGGAGCGACAGATGCAGTGAGTATACCAGGCAAGCTAGCATCTCCCAGTCCTAGGACACGTCTTTTTCTCCAGCCGCTAGCAGCTGCTGGCAAAAAAGATGCATTGGCTAGGCACGACCACGTCGCTGAATGATGTCACTGTTGAGCAAGCAGCTGCGAGTGGGACATAGCGAACTATGGGAACACTGAGCAGCTAAGCCTTAAAATGACGTCATCGGATGCTGGGGGCCTCAGCAGAGTCAGCTGAGCGGCTAGCAAAAAGGGCACATCCCTAGTCTGGTGTGACCTCCAGGACTTTGCACTTCCAAAGGGGAAGTCTTGCAACAGAAGGGGCCGGTTGCACTGACTCGGTTAAGCCAGAATTTCATGCAAAGTCTGACTTTGGATGCCTGTCTAAAACTTTAGCCAGTTGCACTGAACCTGACTAATCTCAAAGCCTGACTTTCAAGTCTGTCTAATCTCAAGCCTCCTTCGGGGTGTCTTAACTGAATCAAGTCTGACTTGAAACGCCATTATCTGATTTCTCCGAGAAGCTGTGGTTATGGTTCGCTCGATTGCCTGACCTGAGAGAGAAGTAGAAACTTCAAGGGTGTTCCAGGAAAGACTTGATCCCCTTGGAACAGCTTAGTGATTCTGAACTTTATGAAAGGTACAGACTTGACAGAGAAGGAATTTCCAAATTGACTGATTTGCAGGCTGACCAATATCCTCTCCAATGACGTTCATGACTGCTTTCGAGATTTTATGCTGTAGAAGTGGTTGCCCTCCTCCTGACTCTGCACAATGGAATATCGCTTAATAGAATGCTCCACTTGATGGAATACCATTGCAAGGTCCCGATATTTTGTCCAGAGGACGCATTATAAAAAACATTGCATGAAGGAATACGGTTAATAGAATAACTCCCTTAAAGGAATCAAACTTTTCTGGATTATGAATGTTTTTTTCTTGTCTTTTGAGAAACAAATGGCTTATTTTTGCTACTGTGCATCCTGGGAAAATCCCCACCAGCCCTCTCCCCAGTCCCACCCTCTCGCTTTGTGGAAATTGGGGTGCAAATATAGGCTGCAGATGTGGAGACGAGGCCTGCCCTTTTCGGCAGGTGGAAGTGGAAGCAAGTTCACCCGGGCAGTAAATTGAGGCTGTAACCAACAGATCTGCTCATTGCCCGAGTTGACCATGGGGAGAAGGAAGGACCTCAGCTTGGCCAAAAAGATTGCAGTTCTGAGTGCCCATCAAGAAGAAAAGAAGACGCAAACTGAACTGGCTCGGCAGTTTGGGATTTCTCAGCCGCAAGTTTCCACGATCATCAAAGATAAGGAAGCATTGGAGGTGGAGTACAAGAAGAATGGAAACCAGAGCAGGAAGAGGAAACGGGAAAGCAAGGCAGGAGATGTTGACTGAGCGTTGTGACTGTGGTTTGAGCAGATGCAGTTGAAAGGACAGCCAATCAATGGAGAAAATTAAAGAGATGACTCCTTTGTGCCAATCAGACAGGAGATGACAAGGTTTCACCGCTGATCATTGGCAAAAGCAAGAATCCTCGGTGCTTCAAGCATCTCAAGAACTTTCTGGTGCCGTACGAAGCAAACAAGAATGCCTGGATGACTGGGCAGGTCTTTGATGAATGGATCTTAGACCTGGATGAAGCAATGAAGAAAAAGAAG